ACAGCAATCGGTGAGTTCAAAAAACAAACTGAGGCAATCAGCACTCAGCTTCCCTTTTAACTGTGGGCCTGTGTTGCTGTTGCATGCGTCGGGAAAGCGCGGAAGATAGCCAGAAATAAATGGAACCGACTTAATGACCACTGAATTCCTCTAAGATTGTTACAGCATGTTAAAACGAGTTTAAACATTCTCGGTATTTTCTGTAGTACATATCATTCACAGTTTTCGTCGCCGTCGATCATGGATCTGAGGTAGCAAAATTTGTTGACAAAACGTCTCCCTTTTAATAAGATCTTGACGACATATTCTGCATATAGCAATGAAATGACTTTGCCTTCGATACTTTCAGTATGGCACAGACGCCGGTCACTGCCATCGTCATTAATGTTTCTGAATTTATTCGGCTTTATTGCAATATGGCAAACATAGCGCCGGCTTTAACTGAAGTCCAAATGTACAGTGCATTGTCTCCCTGCAGAATATCGAGACGCTGGCTGAAAGTCACGCATGGATTATATGAGGAATGAATTGGCAATGACGGAGCTTGTTGACAAATTGCAAACAAAGCTTAACATAGAGTGACTTACAATCATGAAACAATGAGCAGCGCGAAAGAAGCAGTGACAAGAAACGCCGGGATTTATAGCACTAAACATTTTTAAGTCATGTAACTTAATTCTTGATGGTTTGACGCATTCCTGTGAGAATCCCAAAGACCACGTCGTCGCAAATCAGCTACGCAAGCTTTACAGTACATAGTTTTAAACGCTAAAGAGCGTAATTATTTAATTTCGTAGACTTGCACAACGCTATTTTCAATAATGGGATCAGTGGGACGTTGTTGTGACGCTTGCACATACACTTCAGACTAATTCGAAATCAGCAGGTAAAACTAGAATAAAAGACATGCATCGCTACAGCTAAGCACTTTTGAACAGCAACTAGCGCTGCAGAATGCTAAATTCTTACGACTGATGAAACCGCACGGTGAAACATTCCGTTGCATTTACGATCATCGCTGGCGTCATTCCGTCTTCGTATTTTTCGAAAGTCATGACAACATTGCTTTCCGATATTTGCACGTGCACGTAAAGGCCGATAAGCTAAATTATTATTATTTTTGCAAGACTAGTAAACAACCATTATAAGTAATTCCGTGCGTACCTTATTTGGCACCATGACAAAACTTTCAAAATTTTCTGAGTAAGGAAATGGCTGAGACAGGTCGTCTGTACCTCCAAACCTAATTATCAGTGACATTTGGTTTTGACGATTGTGCTTCGGCCAAAACCCAACACACTAAACATAAACGCGATAGCTGATCATCACAATCATGCAAAATACGACGTGATAAAATGCTTTATATACCTGAATTCATCGACAGCAAATCGCTTTTGAGTAAATGAACAAGTTTTACATCGAAACTAACACGACTGAATGCCGCTCGCGCCGCTTGTTGAATTGAGAGTACAACAGAAAACAGCTAACCGAATAGAAAAGCAACACAGTGGTTTACCACAGTGGTACCCCGTTGCCAGAGTAGCGGTCTGTACCTAACAAACATTCTTCAAGAAAACACAATAGAACGGCTCTGGGAACGGCTGCCAACTAGATTCCCCCACATCGAAAACGATGTCAGCTGTGATAATCAAAGACTAGCATTACACTAGGCGATATTGTGAAAAAGGCAGACAGAAGCGCGGTTACTGGCCAATCACGCTATAATAAACTTCCCTGCGTCGCGTTAAAGTGAGTTTTGTTGTATTTGGCCGGCACAAACGTTTAAAGATATACACGCGAACATAAGTTCTTCACAGATCCAAACAATGGCTCGTCACT